GAATGTATGGTGCATTAAAAACAGGGCATTAAAAACAGTTATGAATGTATGGTGCATTAAAAACAGGGCATTAAAAACAGTTGTGTATGTATGGTGCATTAAAAACAGTTATGAATGTATGGTGCATTAAAAACAGGGCATTAAAAACAGTTGTGTATGTATGGTGCATTAAAAACAAAAACAGTTGTATGTACAGGGATTTTAACATTTGAATAAAGGAAGCATGGTGAATTGAGAACCGTTGAATAGGGAAAAAAATAAAAAATAAAATATATATATATATATATATATATATATATATATATACATATAATAAAAATACAAGTCCAGCCCACAGGGGAGCAGGATAAATAGCCCTAAGTGTTACTAGTTATCTATCTGAGCTAACCATACGCTAATCCAAAGAGGAATGTTTTAAGTCTGGCCTTGAATAAAGGGACTGTGTCCGCCTCTTTGATAGATGTAGGAAGCTGATTCCACAAGACAGGAGCTTGGTAGCTAAACGCTCTGCCTCCTACTGTGCTTTTGGACACTCTAGGGACCACCAGGCGTCTGGCATCCTGAGAGCGAAGTGCACGGTTTGGTTGGTATGGTTCCAGTACATTCTGGAGGTAGATGGGGGCCATACCATTTGTCGCCTTGTAGGTCAGGAGAAGAATTTTAAATTTGATTCTAAACTCCACAGGAAGCCAGTGGAGCGCTTTCAACACTGGGGTTATATGTTCCCTTCGTTTAGTGCCTGTCAGGACCCTTGCGGCTGCATTTTGGACTAGCTGGAAGCCGTGTATAGTGGATTTGGGACACGCTGCTAGGAGAGCGTTGCAGTAGTCAAGTCTTGACGTAACGAACGCATGGATAAGCTTTTCAGCATCACTTCGCGGCAGGATACCTCTAATTTTTCCAATATTTCGCAGATGGAAGTAGGCCGTTTTCTTTGATTGATTTACATGTGCTCGAAAGGAAAGCTCTTGGTCAAATATGACCCCTAAATTTCTTACCCTGTCACTGGGGGAAATACTGACGTTGTCGAGTCTAGTGATCTGGTCGCGGAGAGCGTCACGCATGCTTTTAGGGCCTAGGACAATTACCTCTGTTTTATCAGGGTTGAGAAGCAGGTAATTCAAGGTCATCCAGGTCTTTATGTCTTTAATACAGGCACTGAGTCTATCTATCGTGTTTGTTTGGTTTGGTCTCACCAATAAATAAAGCTGCGTGTCGTCTGCGTAACAGTGAAAGTTAATGTCATGGTTTCTGATAATATTTCCTAAAGGTAGCATATAAAGTGTAAACAAAACCGGACCTAGTACTGATCCTTGAGGCACACCAAAGGCCACTTTAGAACAGAGTGAGGATTTTTGGTTCACACTCACAAACTGGAACCGATCTGATAAATAGGATTCGAACCAGTGAAGTGCTGTTCCTCTGACACCTATGTCACATTCTAGCCTCTGTAATAGTATCTTATGGTCTATCGTGTCAAATGCGGCGCTGAGGTCTAGCAGAACTAGCACTGACACCAGTCCGTTATCGGCGGCTAGTAAAAGATCATTCGTGACATTAACTAATGCGGTTTCTGTACTGTGATGAGCTCTGAAGCCTGATTGAAATTGTTCTGCTAAATGATTGTCCCGTAGATGGCGGTGTAGCTGCTCGGCTACAACTCTTTCAAGAATTTTTGAAATAAAGGGGAGATTGGAAATGGGTCTGTAATTGGCAAGCAGGTAGGGATCAAGATTAGGTTTTTTGAGAAGTGGTTTGATTACTGCAGCTTTAAATAATTTTGGAACATAGCCACTTTCGAGTGAGGTGTTTATAATGCTTGAAATAGAGTTAATTATTAGCGGGAGAGTATCTTTAAGAAGTCCAGTTGGAATTGGATCTAAAATGCAAGATGATGTCTTAGAGGATGCAATAGCTGAGATTATTTAGACTACTCAGAGCAGGCTCACTTGACATGGTGCCAAATGTTGGCTCTATCATTTCTTTGAACTTTAAAATGGTTGTTTTGTTTATGGTCCGTTTCATTATAGTTTTATTCTGTGGTACAGGGTAGTCATTAAGGGTAATATTGAAGGTGATTAGGGAGTGATCTGATAGTAAAGGGTTTTGAGGGAGGACACAGATGTTGCTAGCTTCGATACCATATGTCAGGATGAGATCAAGCGTGTGCTGGTGACTGTGTGTTGGCTTTTTAACACTCTGTGTGAAGCCAAATCCATCTAACAAAGTAAGAAACGCTCTGCTGAGGCAGTCTTTGCAGTCATCGACATGTATATTGAAATCTCCAACTATCACAATGTTGTCCCATTTCAAAACTAAATGTGTTAAAAAATCAGAAAACTCTGCTATAAACTCACTATACACTATTATGAATAAAACACCTTTTTGGTTCCTCCAACTTGGACAGGAGATTGACAGTGATAGGCTTTCAAAGGAGGAGTATGTCCCATTAGTTTTTGGATTAAGGAGTAAACTTAAGTGCGCTATAACTGCGACACCACCTCCACGGCCTGAGGCTCTAGCGTTTTGATAATTTACATGGGTGGGTGGTGTGGATTCATTCAATCTGACATAGTCGTCTTGCTGGAGCCATGTCTCAGAAAGGGCAAGTAACTGAAGATTGGAGTCACCGATTAATTCATTTACAAGGAGGGATTTAGAAGAGAGTGACCTAATGTTTAGTAGACCACATTTCACAAGCATATTCTTAGGACTGGTAGCTTGGGTAGGAATTTGTATTAAGTTTTTATGTCTAACGCCTGAAGTAGCTCTTTTAAGATTAAATATTACTTTTGAGCTGGAGCGGGGAATGTGCACAGTCTCTATCAGTTTAGGGTGTGAAAGCTTTTGTGGTTGTTTGGGGCCAAAATTCTCACAGGTGTTCTGTTGTTCAGAGCGAGAGGCTGCACGGTTCAGTGGAAGAACTGGAGTTATACTGCCAGACAGATAGGAGTCACTGTTTGCACCATTGTACTCACCCGGTGTTTTGAGGGGTAGGCGGAGAGATGTGGTGGGGGCCAAGGGGGCTCAGATGTAAACAGTCACGCCTCCCTCTGGCAGCATTGTACAACGTGGCGAATATAGTCCATCAACAGACTGCTGCCGTATCTGTTGGGGTGGAGACCATCCGAACGATAGGCTTCGTGACGCCTCCAGAAAAGGCCGAAGTTGTTTACAAAGGCAAAGTTAAAGGATCTACATGTAGACTGGAGCCACATGTCCAACGCCACGACACGACTGTAGAGACAGTCACCCCGGTTTACGGGGGATTGGACCAGATATAAATACAGACAAACCGGAGGATTGGAGGAGGCGAAAAAGATCCATAAAATGCTTCTTTGTGACCTCGGACTGCTGCAGTTTTATATCGTTTATCCCCACATGAACGATCAGCTTGGAGATAGTTTCCGGCAGAGAGCGAAGCAGAGGAGGGAGACGTATGAGGAGGTCTGGGACAGTAGCGCCGGGAATACAGTGAGTGACTGCGTTAAAAAAGCGAACGCGTCTTATGATGGAATCTCCCATAATCAAAGACGTTGGGGCAAAAAGTGGACGCGGCCGCGGAGAGGGCGCTCGATGGACAGAACCAGCGGGCTCATCCAAAGCAAGATCCGAACTTGAGCGCTTCCCCGCACATGGGGAGCATCGGGCATGTTCACTTTTCTGTCTGGGTAACTCTGTGTTACCTCTCTGTGTTATCGGGGAAGTTGGTGAGTCCAGAGGGGCTGGCTCAGGGCGCTGCTGCTGACCCGGTGGAGGAGAGCGGCTGTGATAGCTCACTTCCTCACGTTGAGGCTGCTGTGGTGGGATCAGACAAGCGGACCGGGCTAGGAGAGATGGGGGACCACTCTTTCGCCTCATGACTGCTTCCTTTAAGAGCGTCTTTCTGGCGACAGATTTAGATTGGCGTGGAGCAGTGGGGTCATCTGTGGAGTCCGGGGCACAGTGTGCCTGCTGATCCAGTGGTTCCGATGATGGAGCCGGAATGTCAGGGGAGAGGACGAGCATATCGGTTTGAGAGGCTCAGGACATGAGCCACAGCAGCACTGGATGATTCGACGCAGCCCGTTCGTTTATTATCCAAAGCCGGGAGCTTGGGAGTTGAGAACAAAGGCCCAGGATGAATGGACTTCTCCCAAACAACTGTATCGTAATATGCTGCACTCAACGACAGCAACTGTGAATGTTGGCCACCGGCAACTTCAAGAAGTTTGGACACAAGCGCTTGTTTGTCCTGCAACTCTGCAGTGAGACGCAGAACTTCCTTACGGAGATGAGTAACAGTAGCACGATCGCTCTCCTGTAGCTCCGAGGTGAGGCGGCTAATTTCATTTTTGGCACTTATTACATTGTCACATTCCATCGTCCGTGTTTTTCCGACTTTCTAATTTAAAGGAGGACGTAGTTTCGTTGTGGACTCGTGGTAGCCTCAGTGCTAACGACTTTCAATTTAATCGTCGCTTGTTTGTATGTAAGATTGTGATGAATAAGAACACTGAATCAATATTAAGAAGTCAACTAAGAGTGTCCCCAAAATGTATTAAAATATCAGCAACATGTATACTAAAAACGTTTAAAATATGAACTAAACGGAGAGCTCACACGGCACGTCAACAGCCCAGCAGCCCTCCGCTCACGATTTATCACATGAACCCATAAACACATGAACCCATGAACCCATGAACCCATGAACACATGAACCCATGAACACATGAGCACATGAACCCATGAACACATGAACCCATGAACACATGAACCCATGAACACATGAACCCATGAGCACATGAACCCATGAACACATGAACCCATGAACCCATGAACCCATGAGCACATGAACCCATGAACCCATGAGCACATGAGCACATGAACCCATGAACCCATGAACACATGAACCCATGAACCCATGAGCACATGAACACATGAACCCATGAACCCATGAACCCATGAGCAC